AAGTCACAGCCTGCTTCATCCACGTCCCTGCAAAGGACATGAACTCATCCTTTTTGACGGCTGCATAGTATTCCATGGTGTCCATGTGACACATTTTCTTTATCGAGTCGATCATCAATGGGCAATTGGATTGGTTTCCAGGTCTTTGCTACTGTAAACAGTGCTGTAGTGAACATACGTGTGCATGCGTCTTTATAGTAGAACGATTTATAATCCTTTGGGTATGTTCCCAGTAATGGGATTGCTTATTCCATCTGTAAAGCCAACTGCAAAGCATCTTCTTTTTCCAAGTCAGACTTTTTCCTTTACTCTTCAGAGACATCTCTGTTTCTGACTACGGGCAACCTGCCTCTCCCCTTACGGGGACCTTTGGGACGGATTACCTGGGGCTCATCTACGTGATTCAGGATTATCTCAGAGCTTCTTATTTAATCACATCTGCAAAGTCCCTTTGCCATGTAAGGTCATATACTCAAAGGTTATAGGAATTAGATTGTAAATATTCTTTGGAATAATTATTCTGTCTTACCACAAGTTGATTAGGACGTGGACATCTTTCGGGCCATTATTCTGTCTCCCACATGGGGATTAGGATGTGGACATCTTTTGGGCCATTACTCTGTCTCCCACATGGGATTAGGATGTGGACATCTTTGGGGCCATTATTCTGTCTCCACATGACGATTAGGATGTGGGCATCTTTAGGGTCATTATTCTGTCTCCCACATGGGATTAGGATGTGGACATCTTGGGGGCCCTTATTCCATCTCCCACATGGGGATTAGGACGTGGACATCTTTCGGGCCATTATTCTGTCTCCCACATGGGGATTAGGACGTGGACATCTTTGGGGCCATTATTCTGTCTCCCACATGGGATTAGGACGTGGACATCTTTGGGGCCATTGCTCTGTATCCCACATGGGGATTAGGATGTGGATATCTTTGGGGTCATTATTCTGTCTCCCACATGGGGATTAGGACGTGGACATCTTTGGGGCCATTATGCTGTCTCCCACATGGGATTAGGATGTGGACATCATTGGGGTCATTATTCCGTCTCCCACATGGGATTAGGACGTGGACATCTTTAGGGCCATTATTCTGTCTCCCACATGAGGATCAGGATGTGGACATCTTTGGGGCCTTTATTCTGTCTCCCACATGGGGATTAGGATGAGGACATCTTTGGGGCCTTTATTCTGTCTCCCATATGGGGATTAGGACGTGGACATCTTTGGGGCCATTATCCTGTCTCTCACATGGGATCAGAAGGTGGACATTTGGGGGCCATTATTTTGCCTACCACATGGGGACATCCTTGGGGCCATTATTCCATCTCCCACACAGGAATTAGGACCTCTCTAGGGTTCATTACCGTGTCTACCACAAAGTTCTTTTAATGCAAACTTCTAACTATCAGATCCAAGTGTGGCATTGTGAAGAATTCAGAGTCCCTAAATTTGCGTATAGAAATGTTTTAAACTGTACACACTTTTTAGGGTTGAGCAATTTCGTAGGATTTTAAGGTTGAGCAAATCCGAAGCCTTCATCAGATCCTCAAAGAGCCTTGTCAAACCTGAGTAGTCTTCCTATAACTTATCGTGGATGAATATTAATAATATTGAATAATAAAAGAAGCCAGGCACAGTGGCTCAGGCCGGCAATCCCAGGACTTTGGGAGGCCGAGGTGGGCAGATCACAGGGTCAGGAGTTCGAGACCAGCCTGGCCAACATGGTGAAACCCCATCTCCACTAAAAATAAAAATAAAAAAAAAATTGCTGGGTGGGGTGGTGCATCCCTGTAATCCCAGCTACTTGGGAGGCTGAGGTAGGAGAATTTGCTTGAACCCAGGAGGCGGAGGTCGCAGTGAGGCAATATCACACCACTGCACTCCAGCCTGGGGGACAGAGCGAAACTTGGTCTCAAAATAAAATAAAAATAAAAAATAAAGAAGTTGGTCTAAGCCACGCATGGTGGCTCACGCCTGTCATCCCAGCACTTTGGGAGGCCGAGGTGGGCAGATCACAGGGTCAGGAGTTCGAGACCAGCCTGGCCAACATGGGGAAACCCCATCTCCACTAAAAATACAAAAAAAAAATAATAGCTGGGTGTGGTGGTGCATGCCTGTAATCCCAGCTACTTGGGAGGCTGAGGTAGGAGAATTTGCTTGAACCCAGGAGGCGAAGGTCACAGTGAGGCAATATCACACCACTGCACTCCAGCCTGGGGGACAGAGCGAAACTTGGTCTCAAAATAAAATAAAAATAAAAAATAAAGAAGTTGGTCTAAGCCACGCATGGTGGCTCACGCCTGTCATCCCAGCACTTTGGGAGGCCGAGGTGGGCAGATCACAGGGTCAGGAGTTCGAGACCAGCCTGGCCAACATGGGGAAACCCCATCTCCACTAAAAATATATAAAAAAAAATAGCTGGGTGTGGTGGTGCATGCCTGTAATCCCAGCTACTTGGGAGGCTGAGGTAGGAGAATTTGCTTGAACCCAGGAGGCGAAGGTCACAGTGAGGCAATATCACACCACTGCACTCCAGCCTGGGGGACGGAGCGAAACTTGGTCTCAAGAAAAAAAAAAAAATGCCACCAAAATCCACAGCTTGGATCCCTCATGTGCAGTCGGGTGGTCTTTGGACGTGGAAGCTTTGGAAGGTGTTTAGAATTAGATTGAATCTTATTAGGATGAGTGTCTTTATACGCAGAGGAGACGCCCCGGGGTTCCGTCTCCCTCTGCCAGATAAAGGCACAGTGTGAGAGAAAACCAGGAAGAGAATCCTCAGCAGTAACTGAGTCTGCTGACACATAGAAGGTAAAATTTCCAGTGTCCAAAACTACAGGAAATAAATACTTTTTTCTGTTGTTGTTGAGACAGAGTTTCGCTCTTGTCGCCCAGGCTGGAGCGCAGCGGCGTGATCTCGGCTCACTGCGACCTCCGCCTCCCGGGTTCAAGGGATTCTCCTGCCTCAGCCTCCTGAGTAGCTGGGATGACAGGTGCCCACCTTGACACCCAGCTTATTTTTGTATTTTTTTTTTTTTTTGAGACGGAGTTTCGCTCTTGTTACCCAGGCTGGAGTGCAATGGCGCGATCTCGGCTCACCGCAGCCTCCGCCTCCTGGGTTCAGGCAATTCTCCTGCCTCAGCCTCCTGAGTAGCTGGGGTGACAGGTACCCGCCACCACACCTGGCTAATTTTTGTATTTTTAGTAGGGACGGGGTTTCCCCACGTTGGCCAGGCTGGCCTCGAACTCCCGACCTCCGGTGATCCGCCCGCCTCGGCCTCCCGACGTGCTGGGGTGACAGGCGTGAGCCACCGAGCCTCTCAGCTCCTTCCGTGGGATTCCTGTGTTGAAAGAAAAGCTCCTTATGGCTCAGGCCCTTCGTGGAAAACTGAAGTCCATGTCGACAGGCCGGGCCTCCTAGGACCTGCTTTCAACAGGCTGCTCCTGGCAGCCGCAGAGGACGCTCGGGGAGGGGTGGGGGGTGCTCATGAGTGAGTAAAATCTCTGCCAATCCATGAAACACTCTTGGGAACCCCTAAAACACCGTTTTTATTCTTATTATTGAGACAGAGCCTCTGTCTCCAGGCTGGAGCGCAGCGGTGTGATCGCAGCTCACTGCAACCTCCACCTCCCGGGTTCAAGCGATTCTCCTGCCTCAGCCTCCCGAGTAGCTGTGATTCCAGGTGCCCACCGCTGTACCCAGCTAATTTTTCTATTTTTTTTTTAGGAGAAACAGGCTTTCACCTATAATCCCAGCTACTGAGGAGGCTGAGGCAAGAGGATCACTTGAACCCTGGAGGTTGTATTTTTAGTAGAGACGGGGTTTCGCTATGTTGGCCAGGCTGGTCTCGAACTCCTGACCTCGTGATCCGCCCGCCTCGGCCTCCCAACGTTCTGGGATGACAGGTGTGACATTGCACCCCCAGCATCAACGTTTTGTCATGGGATCCCCACCCGACGAACACACTAAGTTTCCAGAAGCAACGTCAACCCGCCTCCTTCCCACGTCCGTTCTCCGCCTCGTGATTTTCACCCATGTCCCATGTCTGGGGGCGTCTAGGGAATCTTTCGTCCCATTGTAGGCCCCCCTCAATCGTCTCCCTGCCTTGATTGGACACCCATCCACAGATTCCACTGCATTCACTTCTGCGTTTCTTCACAGACGTCCACCCATCAGGGTAATCGGCGTTTACCGGCTACGAAGTATACGTGCCTTCCAGCATGACACGATCAACAGACGTATTTTGAGCTGAAGATACGTGTTGGAATGGCAGGGGGGCGTCTGGGGGGGCCGTTAGCGGCTGGAGGGGGGAGATGGGGGCTTGTCTATCAGGGGCCGCGTGATGAAGACAGCTTTTCCCCAGTCACGCTGGGTTAACGAGGCAGGGAGCGCTGGGTGACACCGTGACAGTGCGGTGGGCCAGCAGGTGCCACCACAGACATCGTGTGCATCTGCTAACTGAAGACAAAATAAATCGACCTCTGCATGGAAATATTTCCGATCGGTTGTCAGCCCGCATTTTCAAGCAGGAGAATTTTTTTTTTTTTTAATTAAAGAAAAAAAAATTACTGCAGGACGGAGACATGAGGGCTTCCATCTAAATAGACAGACCTGTCTCTGGTTGGTGGAGCCTACCTTGGGGACCAGTGACCCTGTGTTGATGCACACGCATGCTGGCTTTGATCGGGGACCCTGCCTTCACCCCGACACCGTCCAGGGATCCAAAGGGGACAGCACCCGGGTGGCATTTTGACGTGTAGGGTGGCGGGGAGCAGGGAGAGGTGGGTTCCGCAGAGAGGTGCTACCTGAACCACTATTTTCACATCGTTTTCTTGTACCCCTCGGAGAGGCGTGGAGGGGAGAACGCGGGGGTCCCCGACAGCCACAGCGGACCCAGCGTTCACAAATGCCAGCTTGTCAGCCTTGTCAGCCAGCAGCAATCAGAATAGAAGGGGCCTTTCTTTTTTTTTTTTTTTTTCTAATGCTACCCCAGAGTCAATTAAAACACAGGAAGGCTGACATTTGCAGAATACCGCATGATCAAAGCGCAAAATGCCCATACAGCCTCTGACATAAAACCAGCGTGTCTGACGGAAGACTGACACGCTGTAACAGGTCAGGTAATTATGAGAAAATCTATGATATGTGTGTTGCAGTGGGTTAGTTTGTACACATGATCAGAGCCATCAAACAAAAGAGCGGGCTCTGTTCTTCTCACGCATCCTAAATCCGATGCAGCCTCCCGCGCCGCTGATACAGATGGCATCCGCAGAGAGACTGAATTAATTTGACAGTAAATAGGTCCCAGCACTTACCGGCTTCTTTAAATATATATATTTTTAATTGCAACAGGGCAGGTTCTGATTTCTGCACCGCTGGGAATTGCTGGGGAAGCATGAGGGGGTGTGATCAGCAAGGCGCTTTCTCATGTTTCACGGGACGGTCCTGAGCACACAGGTCCCGTACACACACTGTCTCTCTCTCTCTCACACACACACACAGGCATGCACACACACATATTTTCTTGTTTTTTGTCTTTTTCTGTTTTTTTGCAGTATATAATGACAGCATGTGCCGTGATACAAACTTTGCTGTTGTGTGTACTGATGGTGTGGGCAGGGACACTTTGCTGTTGTGTATAATGGCATGTGCACAGAGACACTTTGCTCTTGTGTGTACTGACGGAATGTGCAGAGAGACACTTGGATGTTGTGTGTACTGATGGCATGTGCAGAGTGACACTTTGCTGCTGTGTGTACTGACAACACGTGCAGAGAGACACTTTGCTGTTGTGCGTACTGACGGCATGTGCAGAGAGACACTTTGCTGTTGTGTATACTGATGACATGTTCAGAGACACTTTGCTGTTGTGTGTACTGACAACACGTGCAGAGAGACACTTTGCTGTTGTGTGTACTGACGGCATGTGCACAGAGACGCTTTGCTGTTGTGTGTACTGACGGAATGTGCAGAGAGACACTTTGCTGTTGTGTATACTGACGGCATGCGCAGAAACACTTTGCTGTTGTGTGTACTGACGGCATGTGCAGAGACACTTTGCTGTTGTGTATATTGACGGCATGTGCAGAGACACTTTGCTGTTGTGTATAATGATGGCATGTGCAGAGAGACACTTTGCTGTTGTGTGTACTGATGGCATGTGCAGAGAGACACTTTGCTGTTGTGTGTACTGATGTCATGTGCAGAGAGACACTTTGCTGTTGTGTGTACTGATGGCATGTGCAGAGAGACACTTTGCTGTTGTGTGTACTGATGGCATGTGCAGAGACACTTTGCTGTTGTGTGTAATGACGGCATGTGCAGAGAGACACTTTGCTGTTGTGTATAATGACGGCATGTGCAGAGAGACACTTTGCTCTTGTGTATAATGACGGCATGTGCAGAGACACTTTGCTGTTGTGT